TTTTTTTTTTCAAAGCGATGCTTTAAATGAAACATTTTTGGTTTATACACAGAATATTTTGATAAACAGTTCCTAAAAAATGCTGGTTTGATTTAACCCAATGCAGGGTCAAAATAGGACAAACCCAACAGTTTTGTTTTATTTATTTATTTAAAAAAAGGAATAATAATCATAATATTTAACCCATTTTGTAAAATAATATTTAATATTACTTTAATTTTAATAATCAAATTATTGACTGAAAATGTAACCTAACATCATCTTCAGTTCAACGAATGCAAAGTGCAAACTGGTGGATGATGTAATCCTGACGCGTGCTGATTTAAGTGGATAAAGTGGTCAAGGGTCCAAGTATCTGATTGGTTAGCGGCTATACTGGAAGTGGGCTTGAAGTGGATTTAAGGGGCTCAACAAATTGGATCTTCACATTAGGCAGGTTTGAGAAAACAGGATTGTAACTTGATGCATCATGCATTGTCACAGTCTGACAATGTAATATTTGCTTGATTTTCTTTCCTTTTTTTTGGGTCAGATTAAAGCTTTATATAAGACAAACTCTAACAAAAGCACTTTTCACTATTCATTATTTAAAAACGTAATGTTTTGTACACTAAAAATAATGCTTTGTTGTTATAGTTTTTAAAATATTTTTTTATGACATGCCAGCATTTTTTTGTGTATATTCTTCAGATATGTGACCACAAAGGTTCGTAAGGGTCATTTGTTTTAATTGATATTTATACATCATCTAAAAATTGAATAAATTAGCTTTACATTAATGTATGGTTTGTTAGGTACAATAGTGCGATATTTGGCCAAGATAACAACTAAAAATCTGGAATCTGAGGATGCAAAAATATATAAACATTGACAAAATTGTCTTTAAAATAATCTAAGTTCCTAGCAATCAATATTCCTTCCTTCATTTTTCTTCAGCTTAGTCCCTTTTTTTTTTACCAGGGGTAGCCACAGCGGAATGAACTGCCAACTATTCCGGCATATGTTTTACGCAGCGGATGCCAGCAATTCATATAACTAATCAGAAATCAAGTTTTGATATATTTACAGTAAAGCCTTTAAACCAGGGGTGTCAAACTCAATTCCTGGAGGGCCGCAGCTCTGCACAGTTTAGTTCCAACCCTAATCAAACACACCTGATCAAACTAATTGAGTGCTTTAGGCCTGTTTGATACCTACAGGAAGTTGTGTGGAAGCAGGGTTGGAACTAAACTCTGCAGGGCTGCGGCCCTCTAGGAATTGAGTTTGACAACCCTGCTTTACATGATATCTCCATGGAACAAGATCATTACTTAATGACTAAATGTTAATATTCTACAACTTTTTGGCATAAAAGAAATATTGTTTATTTTGAATTATACAATGTATTTTTGGCTAATTCCTACATGATTAACCATGGAAATTAACATTGGTTTTGTGGTTCAAAATACTGAAGAAATCCAAAAAAGTTCCAAACGCACAATAAATATCATTTTTCCCAAAAAAGGAAGAAATTCTAAAGAATCAGTGAAAAGTTATCAGTAAATCCATTTTAATTACCACACAAACTATAAACAGCATAAAGCCAGCACAAGAGCTTTATGGTCTACTTTGATCCACAAACACTGTAGTCAGCTGGAAAATGTTGGTTCATGTTGTCATGTAAAAACATATGAATCCACTTTGCATGCACTTCCAAAATATATGAACTCAAGCTTTAAATTATTTGATAAAACTATACCAGAGTTACTGTTTAGTTTACTGTGTTTACAAGTATTAAGGAGGCCTCCAGAGATGAAATTCTTGATTTGGCAATGATGTATAATGTTTTTTGACACATACTGTAACCAGACTGGTTCAACCAATCTGAGCAGACTAAGCTCTTGGAAATTGGGGTTTAGGTAAACTTAGATTCTTGAACAAACTACCTAACTTTTTTTTTTTTAACCAGAAAAACCGCTTGTGTATATATATATATATATATATATATATATCAGATATTAGATCTTTTATTAAATATAAGATATATTAGATATTATATTACAATTTTGACTGATACAATGCATTTTTGGTTATTTCTGCAAAATTACCCATACCTGTATATACAGGGCTAAGCATAATTGGGTACACCATCCACAATGAGTATATAGTTAATATATATTGCTGCATTTGAACAAAAAAGATTTATTAAACCGATATATTTATTAAAATAATAATATTTTTATTATGTTATTGTCACCAAATATCTTTAGAAATATAAAGATAATACATTTAAATTCAAGCAAAAATAAATAAATAAATAAATAAATAAATAATAATAATAACTACTAAATCACAACTAAATTGTGTGTATATATATATATATATATATATATATATATATATATATATATATATATATATATATATATATATATGTATATATAGTTTCTCTTGATTTTTAAAAAAACTTTTATTTATTTATTATATTTGTTTACATAAAAAAGGGTAACTCTAGTTTAGGTTGCATTAACTACTGGCTTATTACTCGCTTATTATTAAGATATCAACTCATTAGTAGTTAAAAGTATAATATTAATCTGTATCCCTCATCCTGCCCAAAACATAAACCCAACATCTACCTAACTAACTATTAATAAACAGCTAATTAGTAGTTTATTAAGTTAGTAATGTTAGACTTAATGTTATACACAAACCATTAACTTTCACATATTTTTTATTTAATATTTTTCTCTAACATAAAGATTTAAGTGGACCATTATCATAAATAATTAGCTTGGCACTGACTAATCTAGACTAAAGCATATGCACAAATATAAAATTGTTTAGGATCTTATATTATCTATCTATATTATATATATCTATCTATCTACCTACCTACCTACCTACCTATATATTACATAGGATAGATGTAAACATATAGTATTTTAATCCCTATTTGCTGTGCATTTCATTTATGATGCAGTTGCAACCTACCTAAACTGAAGAAATCCATTTTATTTGTTTCATTCGTTTTACTCCTCAGCTCATCTCCGAGACATGCATCCCCATATGGAACTGTAATGAGATTAAGATGCACTGAAATGACAATGACATTCAGACCTACATTCACCAGCAAAAAAACTAATCAGCCCCCTTTAAACAACCACAGCGTCTGCAAAACCAGCCCATATGGCCTGTTTAAAACAGTCCCATCCTCATCCTCAATGCTGTAAGCAAGACCCCTGAGATGTAACCCTAAGTACCCTAATAAAGAGTAATCTGCAGCTGTCTGCATTACAGTGACACATGCACACCACGCTTCTAAACGCAGGGCTTAGTACACAAGAATGAGTGTGATTGGATTATGAGTCGCAAATCTTTTTGACAGCACACACACCATGAGCACTTCATCATGCTGTCACAATGCAATGACCTGAAACTCCTCATATATTTCAGCTATAAATATATCTTTATTTTTAATAAAGTAATGTAGATGCTTTGCTTTTCTATGCTTTTGAAAACATTAAAAATTAATGATTTTTTTTCTTGAGCTACATGACTTGGTAGTTGTTTTTTAATTAATTGCTAAAGTACATGACGCCAAGACATGTACATTTATGTGATTTCTGGATTATTGCAAATAATACATATCTGCTGCTATAATTATATACATGAACATCACTATAAAATCGATATACATAATGATAAAATGCATAATTTGTAACATTTCTGCTCTTTCTCTAAACTAGTGGCCTTTTGAAATGAAGTCGCTGCAAATTCCCGGTAGAGGGAGCCATTATGCTTATTATCACCGTTTACACACTATTGTTATTATGATTCAAAAAATCCAGTTAACTTTGCTTAACTTATAGATTTAAAGTGGATTTATGATCAATAAAATGTCAATTTTGAGTGAACCCAAATAGCAGACTTATATTGTATAATGTCAATAGTTAGCTATAAGAGGTTGTCCCAATTGTGGTTGTAATGTTGATTTGCATACAAAATGTGATATTATAATCATATGAAGGTCTTTAAAAGATTATTAAATTATTTGCATTTTTTAAAAAGTCTGTTTGCTGTTTTAAATAAGTTGCTTTGATATATTTATTTAATAAAGTTTTATATAGATTATTTACTTAAAAATGACTATGAACTATAATAAATAAGAAGCAGCTGATGTGTCGAGAATATAAAACACTACATTAGTGCTTTATAAAAAATTTTTAAATCTAATAATTTAAATATCCTTGTGTCTTAGTTATAGACACACTTGTTTGTATTGCATTTTTGCCTTTTACATCACTTTGTTGTTCTTGTTTTTTTTTTTTAGAACAATATTAGGCTGTATTCCTTATATTTGATTTATTTTTAAATACAGTGTAGGTTATGTCTTTCTAGGTGCTAAATAAACAGCACACCTCTCTGTTTTGAAAAAGAATAAGGGTTTTTTATAATATACAAGAATAGGCTAAGTAGGCCTGCTAAAAGTCAAAATGTAGCTTGCGAGCAATTCCAGCGTTTTGGATGTGACATTTGCAGTAAAAACTCAAAACATAAATTTACATAAGCATATAATCACATTATACTAAAACATCTGTTTATATTTTTCAAAACTACTAACCACAGAGTTATGGGATCAGAAAAATATCAATCTGTAAACATTTATTATAATTTAAATGAGGAAAATAAACATGCTTTATAGATGTTACCAAAAGGTTTAGCAAGTTTGAAGTATATACTTTGTAAAAATTCTGTGAATTAAACTGCACAAACCAAAACAAATAATGCTCATCAAAAGGATAAGAGTCGGCTCTCTAGAACATTTTAACATTTTAACATTTTAGAGTATTTAACAGTACTATAAAATACAAGCCTATAACCACCCCCCCCCCCCCAAAAAAAAATAAATAAAATTAAATTAAATAAAATAAATAAAAAAACTTAGAAAGGGTTTTGCTATTTTGGTGAAAACTTGGGAAGGTTGACATTTGCATTTCCTCTCTTTACCAGAAATGTTTTTATTTTTTAAATTTTTTTTCAACTTGGCTATATGCTTCATTCTCTATCACAAGATATCCGAGGACAGTATTATTACTTTTTTAGGTACAAGTCTATATTTTACACGCATTACTCACAGAAATACTTTTTCTCTTCTGGTCTCTGATAAACCCCGCGAACTTTGGTTTCCTCACAGCGCCAAATAAGGAGAAAAAGATTGTACGTCATTGAGGTTTGGTTTTCATTCGAAATTTCAATGGACTAATGACTGTAATACCATGAACCTGACGTGTAAATACAATCATTACATTTATTGTCAGAGTGTATGTAGAATTTCCCCTGGTTTTGTAATGTGAAAACCTCACGAATCCAAGTGCAGCAGATCCCGACCGCACGTCACATCATTAGTCACCGGACTTTGAAATCCTGCACAGTAAAACGAAAGCAAAAGACGAGGGAAATGTAGATTGAGACGTGAGATTGTACAACGGGTCTTCATTCAGTATTGCTGTCTTTCTAGTACGCGACACAGTGTTTTTTAAGGAGTCAAGTCTTAGAATGAGTTTACAAGCTTCTAAAGACAACAGGTAAGCCTCTTAGTTTATATAATTTCACTAACAAAATTGTATTGTGTTTATATTTTAATTAATATTTACGTGTAATTAATGTTTACGTAGCTTGTTGTTATATTTTGACAACTTTTACATTACATGTACACTATACTTGATCTGAACTGTCAAAACAATGCTAGTTATTCATATTTAAGAGAATTTCTCACTTTTGGCTTTGTGTTTTAAAGTGTATGTTGTGTTTACAGTGCTGTTACGAAGCCCTGTGCATTTGAGCCCTATAAGAAGCATAAAAACATAGGCAAATGTTTAATCATCAGCAATGAACACTTCCCTGGTGAGTTGTCTGTCAGTCTGTATTTGATCTATGACCTGCTTACAATATTTGAACTTTTGTTTAAGAGGTAATTGCCCTATTAAATGGCAAATATAAAACTATTCATCATTTATATTGCAAATCGTATCATATTGTACCTTGATGTTAATTATGTAACAGGTATTGGCTTAAAAAAACTGAAAATTATTATATTATTAAATATAATTAATAATTATTATATTATTCAATTAGCTGAATTTCTTTTCAATCTGTATCTTAACTGAACAAGGATAAAGTAGTTTAATGCATTACTTGTTTACAGTATTTAAATGCCTATTTAAATGTCTGGAAAAACTATAATATTTATCCTGATGCAACTATCTGTAACATGAATTTGCATTTTGTTAACACATTTCCTGTTACGAAGCCCTGTGTATTTGCGCTATAAGAAGCATTAAAAACATAGGCAAATGGTTAATCATCAGCAATGAACACGTCCTGGTGAGCTGTCTATTAGCCTGTATTGGGTCTATGACCTGCTTACATTATTTGAACTTTTATTTGAGAGGTAATTGCCCTATTGAATGGCAAATATAACTATACTACTCATCATTAATATTGTAAACCAAATCTTGAACATTACACTCTCACAGGCATCTTGATCATTTCTTTTCAATCTATATCTCCACTGAAAAAGCATAAAGTAGTTTAATTCATTATTTGTTTTATTATATTGTATTGTGTACTTTGTTTACAGTAGACGCCCCTTTAAATGTTTAAAAACTAATATTTATCCTTATGCAACTATTTGCAAAATGAATATGCAATTTGTTAACACACTTCCTTTAACCTTGATTCTTGCTGACTTCAGCTATTCTGTTTTGAGGTTTAATACCACAGTGGCTTCTAGTCTTAAGTTTCTACTCATGTGATTTTCAGCAATCTAGTCCTGTTTTGTTGCCTTTCTGTTCCTTATATATTAAAAAAAACTTCCCCATAGCTTGCTTTGCATTGATGAATGGTCGACTCTACATTTATGCATAATGTAAAAGATTTATTAAATTAAAAGGAGTTATGTGAGTATAATATATAAAACTTTTTTAAATACATTTTATACATGTTGATTTTAGGGTTCTGCAAAAGCAAACCTTTGAACACGGGTTTCGATGTGCATGTTTTTAAATTGTAGGTTTATTGTTTTTATCTGAACTACAAACACGCAATTTTATTAACACAATGACACCATGTAAATTGTGTGTTACTTGGTGATCCCACTTTGTAAAGAATTGCTATGTTACACTAATTACTTGGAATGCATAGCGTTTTTATTATTATTACTATTATTATTATTAGGGCTGCACAAAATATTGTTTCAACATCTATCTTTTTCTAAAATAAATGATTCAAAGATGATTCCTTGGATTTACTCTTTTTTAAGTTATGTGGTTGTAAACAATAAATTTAAATTAAGTTGAACGTTCCTAAATTAGTTTGTTTGTTTAAATTTAACGCATAAATTGTTTGCAACAATTCTGCAGACATATTTTTTTCAGTCCAATGTGCAAATCCCAGCCTGATCTCACGAGAAAACGTAAGTATTTTACGTTTTGCCAGTTTAGTGGCTAATTCGTACAAGTTCAGTCGTACGAAATTGTACGATTTTAAAAAGGAGGCGTGGCACCTAACCCCACCCTCAAACCCAACCATCATTGGGGGATGAGCAAATCGAACTAAATTGTACGAATTAGATCGTACGAATACATACGAATTAGACACTAAATCAAAAAGTTACGAATAACTCTGCTATTGTGTTGGCAAATCCACAATAGTCACATCGCAGGATCTGCAATGCCTGTTCAGGTGAAGTTCAGTTTTAGTTTATTCATCCATTAGGAAATTTAAGTTGGATTATTGTTGATTAAGAACAACCTTTTGAAGTTCAGCCTTAATAGAAAGAAAGTTTTTCATTTGAAAGTTTGCTTTGTTTTTAAGGCCTGACTTAGTGTATTCAAATCGTTTGTGTATAAGAAATTATACTATTTAGTTTTAACATAGATTAATTGTTTATTTTTTATACAATGAAGACTTTGTTGTTTGTTTGCAGTGTTGTTTGTTTACATTTTATTATTTAATTTCTGTACCTGAATACAGTAGAAGACTTTCCAGAAAAACATAAAATGCTGTCTGTTTGATTGATGCAGATTGTCTGTCCAGCGTAATCATCCCAATCAATATAAAATTATGAAGTCTTTCCAAATTGAGCTATTCAAGTCATCTGATCGAATTATATTCATATTGCTGTATATTGCAGAAAAAAGAAACATGGCATTGTCAGGTTTTCTGTTACCGTGCAGCCCTAATAATAATAATAATAATAATAATAATAATTATTATTACCATTATTACTTCTACTACTACGACTACTACTGCTAACACTACTACTACTATTATTATTGTAATTATTATTATTATTATTCAGTATATATTGTTTTACAACAGCATTGTTTTCTCTTTGCAAATCTTTTAAAAAACTTTAAACTATGTTTGAACATTCTGATAATTGAAAGTTACTCCACATGATTAAACAACTCTGGCTCATTGGGAATATTTGACCAGGGCTACATTTATGATACACATTTCTCAATTCTCAAAAATGTAGCCCTGGGCACATATTCCCTATGAGTCTGAGTTGTTTAATCATGTAGGCTAAATGTTAACTGTCATCAATTATTCACTGAAGCATTAACATTTAATCACAACCCAGGCTTATTAGAGAGATGTGTCCAGGGCTACATTTTTGAGAACCAAGAAATATTGGTATCATATTTTTCGCCAAAAATTATTCTTAGTTATTGTGTTTGATGACTGATGATTAATTTGATTGCTGAAGAAGCATTCAACCTATTTGTTTTTGTCATTTACAGCTTTCTCAATAGATCTAAAAGAATCACTGAAAGACTGCTTAAGTGTTATTACCGTATAATTAAATACAGAAACATTAAATTCCTTACACATCCATTCCCAGATTCACCACGTTTGTATAGAAAGGGCAATTCAGTAGACGAACGCAGACTTTCAAGCACATTCAAGTCCCTGGGTTTTCATGTAAAGGTGGAGAACAACCTGTCAGCTAATCAAATGATCGATGCACTGAGGACAGGTACAGAATGGTGTCTTTTTTTCAGAATACTGGTTGTGTCATTATGCCTGTATAAATTTATAAACTTGGTGTTTTGCCCCAGTGTCTGAGGAGGACCACACAGATAATTCCTGCTTTGTATGTGTGCTGATGAGCCATGGAGAGGAAGGGACAATCCTTGGATCGGATGAGCGCTGGATCCCTGTCAAAACGCTGACCTCTCTTTTGACCTCTGACCTCTGCCCTAGCCTGCGGGACAAGCCAAAAATTTTCTTCCTACAAGTAAGTGTCACTTTTGTTACTTCAGACTTAGAGAAAACTGAACAAATGTCTCTAATTCTTTCCACTATCGAAAAGTGAAGCCAAAATTTCACATGTATGGCTGCTGCCATCTTGTGCAGATTAGAGCCAGACTCTGTGCTTTAACGATGAGTTGAAGCTGTGGTGTTAAAGTCCCAGACAAACATCCTAAGAACTATACAAAATTTTGTTTGCAAACAGTTTGCCTCATGTTTTAATCATTTACATCAGGGATGTCCAGACTCAGTTCTGGAGGGCCGGTGTCCTGCAAAGTTTACTTCCAACCCCAATCAGACAGCTGACCTAGCTAATCAAACTCTTACTAGGCTTTCTAGAAACGTCCTTGCAGGTGTGTTGAAGCAAATTGGAGCTAAAATTTGCAGGACACCGGACCTCCTAGATCGAGTTTGGACCACCCTAATATACATGGAGAATTGTGTGCTATACTGCAGCCAGCCACAAGGGGGCGATGAGCATATTTTGGCTTCACTTTTTAAAATGAGTGAGGAATCCTATTTTACAGTATTTATAATTAAATTGTTAACATTTTCAGGCCTGTAGAGGAGTGGAATATGATCCTGGTGTCGAAGCAGACAGTGTTGAAGCTTCGGAAGACTTCTTCGGAATATCTGACGTCCCTGAGCTGGATTTTCTCTGCTGTTATTCCACAGTGGAAGGTTTGCATCAGCAACGTTGATTGTTTTTATGTCATTTTTATATACTCTCCCCATGCATTAAAAAACTTATTTCTTTACAGGCTACTTTGCATGGAGAAATCCAGAAACGGGGTCTATATTTATCCGTGAACTTTGCAAGACGTTGATGGATTGTCGTCTAGAGATTATTCAGATTCTGACAAGAGTAAACCATCTTGTGGCTTATTACTTCCAGTCTTACACCTTGGAACTGGAAACAAATAGGAAGAGGCAGATGCCATGCTTTGCCTCTAGACTGACCAAGGATTTTTACCTTCATGTTGCAGAGAAGAATAAGAAATTGTAACTGTTATTCACTTGCATCAATTTTGTGCAAGTAGAAGCAGCAGTGTTCACAGGGCATTCACAGGGTTTCTGCCAGTCATAATTTGTCTTTCCACAATTTAAAAAGAACTTTAATAAAATGAATGACATTAAAAGTTATTTAAAAAGTATGTTTTAAAGAGTAAATTTACACATTTAAACATTGCATTATTTTGTAGGAGAGCATCACCTTTTGCAGTGTTATCAGAAGGTGCATAAAAGGGTATATGTTTTAGTTCAATTATAGGTATTTGTTCTGTACTGTAGTGTTAAAAACAAAACAACTGACATAAGTACAAATATGCATTGTCAAACTCTAAACTGTTGATAAACAACTCATTGTTTGCCACTTATAAATTCACATTTAGAGGGAAAATTGCTATAGTGTGTTTCATTCAACTTATTCATTGAATCTTTTTTTGTCATTCATTGAATCTGTATTCAATATTCAGTGTTCTTTAAGATTTATTTGTTAATCAAATGTACAAGATAGCAGAACCTTAAATCAGTTTGAATTAAAATGTAAAACTTCAGATACATACTGTAATCTGTTTGATATATATATATATATATATATATATATTTTTTTTTTTTTTTAAATCTGCAAACCAAAAGATAACATTATTTATAACAGGTATATAGGTATAACAGGTATATTTATAACTGCTCTATAGATGACAGATGTTAGATTTTATTTCACAATTTATTTTTGTTACATACAGACAGTATTTTTCATAATTTCATAATTCACCAGCATTTAACAAAAAATATACATAAAATGGATCTTGGTTACATGGGGAAATATGCTAAATGAATGTATATATATATATATATATATATATATATATATATATATATATACATATATATATATACACACACACATACATACACACATACATACATTCATACATATAACCACAGAAACAGGGACATTGGAGTGTTTTAAGTCACGTTGATCAGCTCGTTTGTCTATAAGCTGACATACGAGTGATCTGTTAATGAATCACTGCTTTAAAATGTTCCAGTCTCTGTGTATCTGTCGTTACACCCATTAAACAGCGGTGAATTCGGTCAACTGATGACCTTCATGGCCAATCACAGTCATTTATGTTGAGCATGTGGACCCAATGGTAAATTAGCAGTGTTTAAGAACATGCTCATATTCACAGGAAATGGACGTTAAAAAAATAAATTCAGCATGAATTGGTTCAGAATTCTAGTATTGTATATATATATATATATATATATATATATACACTTGTATGTGTGTAATTATATCTTTATCTTTTTTATTATTGTGTTAGCCTTAAATTAAATCAGCTGTGGTCCATAAATAAATTTTACACTTAGGTTACACTTGATGAAGTGAAGTTTTTTTTAAGCTTATTTTGAGAGGGTCACATGCTAAGATTGAATGCGGCTGGTCTCACATCAACAATCATCGATAAACCAATCAGATTAATCCAAGCCTACATAAATAGTCCATTTTTCTTACCTCCCTTATCTTCGTTTTGAAGAATCCCCCTATCAACCCCATCTCCCCTTTTTCCTCCTATACCAAGGTGAGCTCTCAAGACCTAGCTGATCTTGGGCCCCCTTCTATGCTAAATGACCAGGTGGGAGCCCTGAGTTCAAGTATCTCCGAGCTCAGGGTACTCTCCCAGGACAACATGCCAAACTTGCAGTTAGTATCAAGCATTAGCTAAGTGTGAACACTTAAAAGGTAGTTTACCCACCCGCTGGAGAAAAAGAATAGGCAAAACCAAGCCAGGCACAGCATAACAAGCAAAACCAACAGTAGACGCTATGCCATTATTGCCTGTAACAAACCCATTAAGAATCCATAACAGAATATAAGGAGCATGCATAATAACCATGGTCGCTGTAATTATTATAATGAGATGAAACGCTCTTCTCTTCATGTGGTTTTCGTCTTTGTCTTTCTTTCTCTCTCCTGGTCCTGACTGCTTCAGAGCTCTGAGAACAGCCACAAGACAAAATAACTGGACTAAGAGGAAGAGCATAGGCTGCACCAACATGTAATAGAAGTAAAATTGGATCAAATAGAACCTCCAAGCTATATAAACAACCACACAGGCACCAAAGGTTACCATCCAGACAATAACCGAACTCGCAACTCTGTATCTTAGAGGCCTGAACTTCAGAAAGACGACAGGATGAACCACGGCCAGGTAACGCTCAATACACATCAGACACTGAAATAGAGGACGACAAGTCATTACTAGCCCTGTAAGAATAACCCACATAACCAACGGGATATTTAATGCATGCCTGAGTAGACTAATGAGAGCGTACATACAGAGAAGAATGTCATTTATGGAGAGATTGAGAGTGAAGAACTCTGCTGCGAGTCCATTGCCTGTTCCTGTCACTATTAGCCAAATCACATAGGAGTTGACAGGAAAACCAAACAGCACACTTATGGAATATATCCAGTATTCATGTATATAAAGGTCCATTATAGTCTTATTAAGGTGATCAGTGTATGGTCCACTACTGGGGGAGATCTCACTGGAGGTGTTCATCTTCACTTCATGAAATCTTAAAAAAATAAAATAAGAAAAGCTGTTAGGGAAAAGTGTTGTGTACCAGACAATTCTGTCAATCAGATCAAAAATGCTTTAGAAAAAAAAAAAAAAACTCTTAAAATGTTCTTTAAAAAGCAGTTTTTTTTGGGGCAATATAGTGGCTTAGTGGCACTTAAAAAAGGTTTTATGACATATATTTTGCTATCCAAATTCTTAAATTACCACATTACCACAAAATTACCACAAAATACTTGATTACCACATCACACGCATTTAACACAGCATTTGTGCTGGTATTTAAATAGTCAGCTGTTCAGCAGTACCTGTTTCTACTGCAGGTGGGAGTGAGACTGTTGTCACATGGCAAGTGTTGAAAAAAACACTGCCATTGAAGCTGATGAGGTAATACAACAGTTTCACGAAGCTGAATAGTTCTAACTACTGATGTTGCTTAATATTTGTTTTCACAGTATAAAATGTGTGCAGTTTTGGTGAAATAAAATAACTAATCAAAATGTGCGCTATATTAATGTAGTGGAGTGTAGAGCACAAAGTAACGCGGGGTTAAATGTAACATTGTTTTAAGGTATTTGCTCAGGGTTAACCATGTAATAATGCAAATAAATGCATTGTATAATAATAGATAAATGGATAGTAGCTAATGCAAATAAATTCAAATGCGTTTATCCAATAAACAAATAAATAAATAAACATACTGTGCTATGTAAAATAAAAAAGAAATGAGCCAATTGCTGAGGAAATATAGCTTCTCTTTAAAGTAAACTGAATTTAAATTAATTGTGTGAAATCTGCCTTTAGAAGTACAAACCCTCTGTCTGTTACAACTTGGGGTAAATAGTAACATTTTTACTCCTGACACTTTTGGCAATACTGCACAGAAACCACAGGTCCGGCGATCATATTTCCAGTGCTCATTTGTAGGAGAGGCTTGTGTGTTGTTGGTAAAAAAATAATATTGTTTTTCTAACCCTATTACTTTGTTCATTATTTGACCAAAACCAAAAATAAGTATTACTTTGTGCCTGCTCTTCCCTAAATACATGCAAATTATTCAGAAAAACGTCAATTGTACTAGCTTTCTAGATATGATATGACATATTTATCATATGATATAGCCAGTCACATCTGTTTCTGTAATAGTTAAATCACAGTGAGTTCATGTATCTAGCCTATTATTTTATAGCGATATTCTGTAGCATGCTATGTCAGCATTGGGTTATAAACCTACTTTATTCTTACGAAAATACCTGATGGCTGGAAGAGCACATATAGATAGTCAATTAAAGCCTTTTTATTTTTATGCAGATCTTATTTTCATTCATTCAACTACAGCAATAGCTGGATGCCTTCATCTTTATTAGGGATTTCCTGGAACTTTTGTGAAGCATATATGGAATTTTTGCTCAAGAGCATTACATGATTTTTTATTAAATCACAAATAGTAGCCTATTGAGAAGTTTTTACTTATTTAAGTGTATTGAACATAAAACAATTAAGTTGTCCCCCCAAAAAACTCAGGAATTGTATTGTTTAAGCTCATTTTAAATAAGCAGTATGAACAAACAGCAAGCATAATTTTTCAGTGTATTTACACACATAATCATGATTCAAAATGCTTTAATAATAATGAAACCATAGTCACACTTTTCCTTATAAATATTTGATAATTTACAGTGTTATTTAGCAGAAACCCTATGCACAAATAAAATATTAGCATAAGATGATCATTTTGAGATATCTGCCTTAAATCTGAAGCACAACTTTAGATTCATGGCTTTTAATTTTTATTTTCTGCAGCCTACAGCAAGATTTTTTAAATATATATTTTATATAAAAAAAAATTGGAAAACAGCATAGTAAAAAATAGTGCATTGTAAAAACTTTATCTCAGCAAAGACACAAACAAAGGCTATGCAGTAAAGTATTTAAGATTTACAGGTCCTAGGATTATAACTACGGCATAAAAATAATTTAATACATTAAAAAAACTCCAGAAATACATACTGTTACAATATTAAAAAAAGAAAAAAAGAATGAAACCAAAATGCATTCATATAATTAAAAATAAGGGCGGAAGGGGCAACATTTTTACCATCATGTAAACATCAACAGAAAATGTTTCAACAAACTTTCTTATTCAAATTGAAAACAATTTCATTCCAGTCACTATACATTATTTCATAATAAGTATTCATATCAGAACCTTAAGGATACAAACACTCACCACTCAAGTTGTACACCTCACTGTTGGCACGTCTTATTGGTATGTGATATAGTGGAGAGAAAGGAAGAAAGTTGATTGCCAAGTGTTTGATAATTTAGGAAATAGCAACAGAAAATATCAGATTTTATCAATTGCATGAGACTATTGCAGATGGAATAAAAAAAATCAGTTGCATGTTGCATTTAGTTGGGTTCAGTTGCATTCATGTGACAAATGAAAATATGCCAAATTAATGCAAGTAGGCAGTCCAGTGAGCACCATTGGCGCTTTCCAGTGCTTGTCTGCTCATTTTGTCAATACTGTACCTCTCCAATATATTTTCATGTGATATCATTCAGAGAAAAAATATGGTGCCAACTATTGAAAACAAACTGCAAGGTAATTGTTTTTATTGTCAGTTGTTTTATACAAATAATTTGTTTGACATTTCTTATCCATTAGAATTTTTATGTGCTTTTAAAATGAAAACATTTCAATTTAGTAGTATGAAATATAACAAGATATATGTGTTTGTTTTCAGCATGGCGCTGTATATTTTACATTTTTTTTGTCTCATAGGGCTCTATTTTGATGAACCAG